GAAAAAAAGAAAAAAGAGCTGCTGAAACTGTTGAAGAACGAGAATTACGTCTTGAACATAGGCGTAACAATTGGAAAAAAAAAAGAACTACAGAAACCACTAATAAATATAATGAACACAATTGTGAATATCTAAGCTCAGAAACTGATGAGTATATGGAAATAGAAGAGAACTTAAAAATTGATCAATTTCAGCTTGCAGAGTCTGATAAAAAACTTTTAAATACTTTTCGCAAAAAAATGACAACGCTTAAAAACGAGCTATGCCCAACATGTGATGAACGTTTTCCATCTATTATACTCTATCAAGGTGAATGTCATCGATGTTATATGGAAAAAACTACTCCAAAAAAATTTTCAGCTGAAAATAATATGAATCCAGGTATATATAAATTATTGAAATTATTATAAATTATAAATAAATAGATAAATAACTTGTAAAGAATATAATTTAGGAGATGTACCCCAAGAACTTCAAGGCCTTACTAACATCGAAGAAATGCTAATTGCTCAGGTTTTTCCAATTGTATCAGTTTATAATCTCCGTGGAGGACAGTATGCATATCGAGGAAATGTTATTAATTTCTCTCAAGATATACAAGGCTTTGTAACTCAGCTTCCGCATCATCCATCATCATTAAACACACTTATTATACGACGGCCATCTTTTAATGGATCAACTTTTCAAGACTTTCAAGTTCGACGAGAAAAAGTATATCAAGCACTCTGTTGGCTAAAAGCTAATAATATTTTTTACCGTGATATTGATATTGCTGAAGATATACTTTTATTACTACCTGAAAATGGCTCAATAATCGAACAGCTCCAACAGATTTCAGATGATCAGTCAAATAATAAAAAAGAACTATGTGAAAGCAATGATATCCATAAAGAAAATATTATTTCACATACCTTCATTCCTATTCCACCTCCCAAATGTCGTGAAGACAGTGCAATTTATAAGGCTTTAAACAATTTACAAAATAACTATCAACCTCCAATAATTGAATGGCCTAAAATTGAACGTACTCCAATTGATGAATTCAATACTCCAGGGTATATAGTACGCGCATTTCCTACACTTTATCCTCAAGGCATTGCTGATTTATATACACCTCGAATAAAAAAGGTACAACCAGCTGAATATTTTCAGCATCTTCTAAAATATAAGGATGGTCGCTTTGCTCAACATCCACGTTGGCGTTATTTTGCTTTAAACTCTCAAATGCGATGGCGTGCATTGCAATCTGGGCGTGTATTTGTTCAGCAAAATTTAGAAGAGGGACAACTTACTGCTATAGAGGTTCAAGACTTATTACAATCTAACAATACTTTGGCAAATCGTGTAATACATTATGGAGAAATATTACGTGGCACTCGTCAATATTGGGCACGATGTAGCTGTGAATTATCTGATATGATATGTCAATTAGGGTCCAAAGGAATGATCTTTTTTACTTTCAGTTCAGCTGACTTTCACTGGCCCGAATTACATGATCTCATGCCACATGGAGAAAATCTAACAGAAGGCATAACTAGTGAAGAGGCTGCTAAATATCGATATCAGGATTTAATTAATAATCCACATATAGCCGCATGGTTCTTTAATAAAAGATTTAATGTTTTTTTTGAAAAAGTCTTGATTCCAAAGTGGAAATTAGTAGATTGGTGGTTCCGTTTTGAGTGGCAGCACCGTGGTAGTGCGCATATTCATGGAATTGGAATTAGAGCTGATGGTCCAATATTTGAATGGAATAAAATAAAAGATAATGAAAGGCTAATACAAAATGTTTTGCATTACATGGATTCTTTAATAACTACAATTAATCCAGATATAAATGCGCCAATACCAAATAATCACCCATGTCAAAAGCGTATGGAACTTTGTAATGATGATTTGCAAGACTATGTTGAATTGGTCAACAAACTTCAATGGCATACACGATGTAGCACACTACATTGTTTAAAAGTTAATAAGCAAACAGGTCAGCAAGTTTGCAGATTTGGGTTTCCCAAAGAATTAAGAGAAAAAACTATTATACAAGATAATAGTCGTGGTCAACCAGAATTATTAACAGCCAGAAATGACCCTTATATAAATCCACATGACCGTTTACAGCTCCAGGGATGGAGAGCAAATGTGGATTTAAAGCCTATACTTACTACTTATGCTGCATTACAATATGTATCCAAGTACGCAAGTAAAAGTGAACCTCGATCAGCATCATTTTCTGACATATTAGATAGAATTCTTCGTCATGGCAAACCTAATGAACCATCTGTTAAGTCTTTTCAAAAACTGCTCCTTCATACAGTATCTGAGCGTGACTTTTCAGCTCAAGAAACCTGTCACCTTTTACTTGGAATTCCTCTATACCATTGTAGTCGAAACTTTGTAACTTTAAATCTTAACAAGGAAACTCTAAGATTAATTCATAATAGTAATAAAAATCATGATAATGGTGACAATAGTCATGATACAGTAAAAACTGGATTTTCATCCTTACAATTGTATTGGACTCGACCTCCTGAACTCCAAGATCTTACACTCTTTCAACTATATCTCTATGACAAACATGCAATAGTAC